TTGCTCTATATTTTGAGGATTTAAACAATCCTAACATGGAACTTAAGGATATAGTAGCAGTTAATGGTAATAATAAGAAGGAAAAGATTAAATCTATATGTCATAAAATTAAACTCTTTGAGGATAATGATAGGCAAATATTTAAAAAGTTAGAATACTGTTATCGCCTAGGTGAACTCCTTTGTATGAATAATTGGAGTAATTATTCGACAAATTTCCTTTGCCAGGAATTAGGTGTTCGAAAAGGAAAGGAAGCATTTAAAGTTACTCAACAAACCTTTGAATTGTATAATGCTCGAGGAATTTGGAATATTTTTTAAGCAAAGCATATTAGCTATAGAGTGTTAGCTCGAATATATGAGTCTGACTTTAAATTGCTCATGCAGGAGGCATATAGAATTTCAATGACTGAATTTGGGAATCCTTCTATCCCAGAGGAATTTTAATTTGCAGAAGCTCATCTCTAAGGAGAGGATGATATCACGCCTATAATTTTTTCTTTTCCAACGCAGAGCAAATATCCAAATACGAAAAACTGCTGCTACATATTCATTGAATTAACCTGAACATAATAATATTGCATAAACATCAAGTGTTGCTGGAACTAAATTATCAAATAAGTCAAGCATTGTACGATACTCTATGTCTTTGCATATTTGACCAAATTTTCTAATAATATTGCTTTTGATTTTTATCCATCTATTATGTGTGAGCTCTAAGATTAGGTTTATTCTTCAGAGTCGAGGTTTTTTTGCTAATTTTTTTTTCTCTCCAAATACAGTATGAAATAATTTTTTAAAAAATAAATAGTAAATTATTAAAACTTGCTCTCTACTGTTTAATGAAAAATGAAGTGGGCCTAGCATAGACAATAATAATTTAATTTCACTTGGAATAGCAGCTTGTAGATTCAGTACTGTATGCATATACAATGCTTTTCTAATAAAAATCTGTCTGGGCCAATCTGCAACAACTGGTGCAACATATTCATTTAAGTATTGTATTTTATTATTAATTTGTAATATCATTTTTAAAGCACTAATATAATCTTGTAAAGAATGCAGGTGTTGTTCTTTAAACTCTATTAATTGAAGTCCATTCATTGATCATTCTTCCTTACGTTCTATTATATTATCAGCATAACTATAAACTGTCAATATTTCAATTAGATCATACTCAGTAACAACTGAATGACCTTGTAAATTCTAAGTGTTTAATAGTCAGAATATGACATATCAAAAATTTCTATATACTTTTTAAGTAAATACCAACAAATTCTTGACGCTTTAACATTAACTGGGTTATGAATTGATACTCCATTAAAAATTATTGGTATCGAAGGATATTCCAAAACTAGTTTTGCTATGCAAGTAGCAAAATGTTTTGTTGTCAAAGTTAATATAGTATCAGGTCTACGATTTTCATGAATTGCATGATAATTGTCAATATTGTATATGAAAAAAAAATTTCTAAATAAATATATATAAAAAAAAAATTATGAATGTATATACATGTATTTAATAACATATTAATATAACATATTTATTAATTTACATAATTAATAAAATAGTTTTCTATTTTATTGCATGTTCTTTTTGAATGTTTTTACGAAATTCCTCTACTGTTTTGGCATATGCATAGTATTCAAGACTTGAAATCGTATCAATAGCTTCCCATGTTACTTCTGAAGCTATTAAATTTAAACCAACTTTTAATTTATGTTGATTTACAAATTTGTTACACAAATCTGCTATCTGATAACACAACTCAACAATTGTCTTCTTGGCTTCGTTAATATTATAGGCTGAGCGTTCTATTAGAACAATTGCATTCATCATAAATCCAAAAAAACCTTTAGTTGTGGATTAATACTTTCAATCATACATTCGAATTTTGTTGGATCTAGTCCTAAACTAGTATATTCTCGATGTTGCCGGTAGTATAAAGCATCTGTTAGCATTTTTATATATGAAGCGAAATTTGATAATAAAGTTAAAAAGAAGAAGAAAAAAAAAAAAAAAAATTATAAACTAATTACCCATGTTATTGTTCGATATTGGTTCTATCGGTTCCAATACTTGTCTTTGCCTTTTTTTTTTTGTTGGTTTATGCCTTCTTTGGTTTCTGTCACCTTCTACAATCATACAATAATACAGGTAGCAGAGTTGATTTCCAAGTATGAGGTAAGGGTATACTTCTAGTATTCATTTTTTACAACATTTTGCATATGCAACTTTTGTGATTAAATGAAATTTTACATTAGTATTAGTGCAATTAATAATTGAGCAGGGGCTAATGTTCTTTGATTTCATTTTTTACATAACTTGGTCTTTATTTTTTAAAAGAAAGATTCTTTTATAATCTAATCATATTATCTATGTAATACTACATACTATATACTAAATTTATTTTTTATACCGTCTTGTCATTGCAGGCAAATATTCAAATTGTCATAAGCGATATTTAGAGATAGACAAATTTATTATGTATTCTTATTTAATATTACTTAACATTATCTAATTTTTTGAACACTAAGTATTAATAATTCATTCTGAGAATTCTATTTTTAGTGACAAAAATTTACATGTTTATTTAATCTCAGCTTTAATTAATATTATTTTTTACCATTATCATCATATGATAGTATTACTTAATATTAGTTAAATGATAAAAAATAAGTATTGATTGCTTAATAAATTACTTTGCCCATCTCTAGTAATACTACATTACTATCGAGTTATTTAAATCCTAGCATACTCAAAAAACTCTGCTTCACTATATAGCTATAATACAAGTTATTCTTAGTGATCCGTTCTATCAATAAATATTTTTTAAATTCACTATATCAAGGGTTCAATAATAAATTCATATTGAAAGAATTTTATTTTTTTTTTTTTTTTGTTATTAAGGCGGCTTACATTGCCGAAGGAATTTTATTAGAATTGCATACGGGATAT